AAAACAAAAAAAAAAAAAAAAAAAAGTTACAAAGCCTGCGAACAGGCCACTTAGTGCACACGGTATCAGTATGCACAGAGCCGTCTTCCCTGTCCATATCAAATCTCTGAGAGGGAGAGAACAAAGACAGCAAAAAGTGTGGCACCTGCCTGATGCAGACAATGTTTTGCTATCCTGTTCAAACCAAAGAACACACGCTAAGACTCGAGTGCCAGAAGCATGGATCAGGCAGCTCGGTGCTACCCAGCCTTACCACTACACTGAGAAAGCTGCACAGGGCTTCCGTGCCGCTCCATGACACAGAAGAATCCAGATTTCAGGATTCAGAACACCTAGCACCTTCTTGTGCTTCTCCAAATGCTCACCCCAGGGCTAGTTGAGTGAACTGAAGGGCAGCAATGCATTTTAAAAAACACACACTCAGACACGGCTTATACCAGATGCAGTTTTACTGCAGACAAGTGTACTGACGTGTGCATCAGAGAAGTCAGCTGATACCAGTTGCCATTTGCCTGCATCATTAATTTTCTCTCCCTTCCTGGCACAGAGCTGTACAGACCCTTTGACACTGATGAGAGGATGAAGGATGGCAACGTACTTTCGTTGGTAATACAATCATTGAGCCAAGGCAGGTTATATGCAGGCAGTTCCTGATTCCCAATGCTTTCTATATATGCAGACAACATTGCTGTTATTAGCATCTTAGCTCATGTTAGAGATATATTTACATTCAGACAGAAAAAGAATCCCACCCATAAATGAACTGGCATATTAACCTGGTAAAACTGAGCTCAGCAGTAAGGACTCCTAGCTCTCTGCTATGTAAAAGTGACTCGTTCATTGTGCAACGCTGTCAAGAGCACCCCAGTCCTGTGGGCACGTGACCCACGTAGCAGAGTCATCGCTCTTCATTCATTACCTTGCACAGTCGACTATTCCAGTGTAGCTTTCCTCATTTGTTCCTTTGCTCAGTGACTGCAGGCGTGTCTTTATTACTGAAAAAACATACATTTTCAGTGGTAAAGCACAGAATTGGACTGAACAGATTTATCCAAGCAGGTCCAGGAATGACCTCCTGGAGTTGTCCATCTAGTTTCAGATGCATCTCCATTAATCAAGATCAAAGACCATTTTTGTTCTATTCTGGCAGATGACAAAAGCCAGAAATACCTTCTCTACCCCTGACCCAGAGGAATGCGGACAAGTGTGTTATAACCCACTTGAATCCCTGCCTAGCCTCAAAGTGCCACGTCTCTCTCACACGCCTGGTAAAAACATTGGAAGCCACCTGCCATAATCCTTTGGTGCCTGTAGGCATCCGCTGCCGGTTCCTGCACTACTGGTATGAGGGGAGGACACTGTCCTGTTCAGCTTCCAGTGACAAACACATCATGAGGGCAAAACCCCACCCCAGGCCTACCAAGATACTCCAAATACTAAACCTGGTCAGAAGTTCCCCTGTTGTCTGGGTGAAGGAACTTTTCCTTATACGTGTTCTACGTTCACCAACCTTTAACTGCTAAAGTTTTCATGGCAGCAGGAGTGTCTTATTTGTTGGGGAATCCTAAACCCTGTAATGGACTGGTTTTGAAGTCCTTCCCCAAAAGCCTCTCGTCCATACACCACAGAGCAGCTGTGGAGGTGGCTGTCGCAACTAAGCGGAGCAACAGAAAGTGTCAAACATCTCTTACCATCACAGGGATTGACAGAGACAGCAGCTACAGAACCAGCCACACATCCTGCTAGGAAAGAGCGATGAAATGGCGCTCTCCCCTCCAGAGTATCTTGTCCTACTCTGTTCAGATGTGCGAACAATGGAAAGTAGATGATGGAGAAGGGAACGTCCCTGGAAAAAGCAGACGTCACGAAGGGAACGGCAGGCTGCTCGCGCGAGACGTGAAATGAGAAACATATTATTACCTCAGCAAGGTGGCGCCGAGACCTTTGTAAAGGCCTTTAATGCCTTGTGTACGCAGAAGCTCAACCGCTATCTGGGTAGCAGATCGTCTCCTTGTAAGTGCAGCCGGTCCAATGTTATATGCTCTAGTCAGGGGTGGGCTGACAGCTACCAGCTTGCAGCCAGGAGCTGTACAGTGGACTCCACGAGCAAGCTGCTGAGTTGCTACAAGGCGGCAGAAAATGACTTCAGGCCTTATTTCCTTATCCCCTAGTATTATTCCCACTAGACGTATTGTATATCCCAATCTACCAGAAAGCCTCTGGGTGGCTTATAGCACAAGATTACAAACAATTCATAAAACAAAACAGATTCTCCAAACATGCCCCAGAACTTCAACTCTTTTTCAGCTCCCTCCCTCCTGCTTCCCTGCCTATCATCCCAGAGCCAACTCTCTGGTCCACCCCCACTGTGCTGCTGAGGCTGGAAGCATCTGCCTACTGCCACTACCTAGACCACTGTTCTGTATGCCACAAGTCTTGCTGAAAAGATGAGGTCTCTCCTCACTGAAGAGCAATTGCACTCAGCAAGACTCAGCAGCTCTACATCATCATGTTATCAGCCACCATGGCTAGGTATTAGATCAGGGCAAGAGTTACTTCCACCACCTCTTCCTGGAACTAGAGCTGGATGCCAAGACTGATACGCACCAAATTATCTTTGACCGCTTGCCAGCAATCCTGAAGTAATGCTCACAGCCCCAGCAGACAGCGTCACGTTTGTATGCCCATGAAATGCGATTAACGTAGCTGATATGTATTAACATCCCAAACGTCCACTGAAAACAAAGGGGGGAGGGGGAAGGGGTTGGTTCTCAATTACCTACTCTCCCTGCATCCTGTAACTGGATTTTTAGCATCTCCATGGGAGTGGTAATGATGACCTGGCATGTTCCAGCACCACAACCTGCCACCATCTCTCTGGGTATGGTCAGGCCCATTCTGGATTGGGAGGGAAAAGAGCACATTATGACAAAGTGAGGGTTTGGTTTTTGAGCAGAAAGCACACGGCATGGTGAGGCATTGTTGTTTGCCTCGTCCTGTGTAACCTTACTTCAATATCCAGAAGCAGCCCACAAGGTAACACCATCTGCCAATCAACATGTTAGTTACCCAACCTCGTGTTGCATCAGTTAGGTATTCCCAACCAGCCTGCGCTTCATAAAATACGTAACTAGAAGTTCTGTTAAACAGTTAACTTCATTTCAGCACAGTAGCAAAGGAAAGAAGTTACTGCCTAATGCAACTGGAAAGAAGAGCCATTTCCAGCCTGAGAGAGAAAGGTTTAGCATCTCATTCCAGCAGCACGCACACTTCATGTTTTTCATCTGACATGTAACAAGAGTCAGGACCTACCAGCCTGTTTTGCAACTCAGAGGACTCCTGATAATAAGTGAACATGCCTTAAAAAAAAAAAAAAAAAAAAAAAAAAAAAAAAAAAAAAAT